AAAGATTGTGATTTGATTGACTATATAAATTTTAATGTGGCAAAGATTAATCTAAGAATCCCAAGTAACAAAAAATTATTTAGTTTAGATTCAAGTAGTATATTTCCTTTTAACAAGATAATGGCTGTTTCCAATGAGTTTTTTAGCGAGGTCCAAATAGATATCTTTAATGTTAGCCTAAGAAAGTTGAGGACTGTACTAAATTAAGTTCACTAGATATAAAGGTTTGTTTTGTTTATAAAGTTCTTGTTACTTAACTCTACATGTAACTACTATTATTTTTTATAGTATCCAATAAATAAATTATACCTTATGGCTGCTTTCAAACAATTCTGTGTGTAGTCACTCAGTTTAAAGTTAATTTTAAATTAATGAGTTTAATAAGAATGTCAAATAGTGATATGTATAGTGTCTATGAATTTGCTGTTTGTAGTAAATGGCAAATAAACATAACTTTGATATTTTTATTACAAGTGTAAAAACTACGCAAACCATATACATATAGTTCCCATTTTTAAATAAATTTATAATAAAAAGTAACAATTTTAGTCTGCCATACTTGAACTCATTCACTAAAACAAGTCACTGAGTATATATTTGTAAAAAAACTACACTAAATATGTCTCCATTATAAATTTTTATATTTAAAACTACATAGATTTTGCAGTAAGTACCTAAATAACGTATAGAATAAATTTCTACAACATAGAAAAGTTTTAGATTAGAGTAATTCTTAAGAAATAAAGCAAAACCTCTATTTTGTTACTCTAACCTTGTGTGTTATATATTTTCCTTGACAAGCTAACGTTATATTTTGAACTAAAAGTAATTAAACTTTTCACTAAAAAGTAATATTTCACATATATAAAAAAATTTTAAAACGGTTCTGCCTTCTCACATTTGCGAAGACTGCCCTGATATCTAATCTATTTTCTTCTTCAAAGTAATTAAGTTGTTCAACCGTTTTCTATAAAGGTATCTCACATCTCGCTCATACACACAAATTTGAAAAGCAGCCGAACAAAAATTCAACTAACCAGGTATACCAAGTCCGTGTAAAGAAAACTTTTCATATCCCGAAAACGTCAAGTGTCAACTAAAATTTCTACTTTTAAAGATCAAACGTGCCGCCTCAGAGTCCAATACTGATTGGTATATATACTGGGGTAAAATCCTTCTCTTTATCCCCTCTCTTACGTCTCACCCTTCGTCTTCTCACCGTGGACCTACAAATGGAGTGTATTGATTTTAGACTTAATCTTGACATCTTGAATATTATATTTTATCAATGAATGATTATATCTCTGTTATCTCTGTTTATAACATAGGTATAATGAGTAAGATAAAAAAAGTAAGATAGTTAGTTTCAGTATTACTGTTGACGTTAGTGCTGAAAATGATATAATATAAATCGGATTGTTTTTAGACTACACCTGGACTGACTGATTTAACAGTTTGAGCCTAAATAAAAAAAATGAAGAATAAAAGAGAAGACTGTCAAGGTTAACCGCAGGACAGGCATATCTAAGGGGGTCACGACTATGAAGACTAGAGATAAGGAGGCGAATCGGCATGCTCAAAATACGGTCCCGAAAATCACACGTAGTCTTTATGTGCTTTCTCTACGTCCTTTTTAATTTTGGATCTTAGCCGTTTAAATTCTTCGAAGGCATTTAAATCATTATTGCGCTTAAACTTTTTTCGTACTTTCTCTTTTTTTTTAATATCTCTAATAATAGGTCCGTTGAACCATGTAGGGTATTTTCTTGCAGTTGGAACATATTTGGGAATACATATATCCATCATACCATGTAGTTTTATCGGGCACGGTGGTGTAGCGGTCTATCGCGCTTATATTCATTTATAGGCAAGTTTATGAGTCTGAGACTGCTGGGTTTCGAATCCCAGACCAGACCATGTGGATTTTTAATTAAATTGCATGGTTCGGTTTAGGATTTGATGTGTGGCGTATTAATAGAAATTCAATTTCTGTTGATATGACATGCAGATTAAAACAATTCGCCATACATTACCGTCTCGATGATGGTGGGTGAGGTTTTCCGGGTTTTCCTCACCTGTAAGTCAAATGGCACCATCAATCATCTTTAAGTCGCCCCGGAGCGCCACGGCAAATAATAATAATAATAGCCGTCCCTTTCCCCGGACAAGCTCAGCTTTTGGGGTTAAAATTCACTCGTAAGGGGGTGAATTAGGGAGAGTATTATTATTATAGTTGTTCATAAAATAACTTACATGCAGTTTCAATATTATTCACATTATTGAGAAAAGACCAGTCACATGAAGCTATTAGTTGATATAACATCATATAATTAGCTTTACGAAAGTTATACTGTACATTTTTATTTACTGGATTAGGTTTACTACGAGGATTAGATATTTGAAAATTAATATTCAAAGCAGGATGCGAGACATCTTCAGGAACCATCAAATCATATACCATTTCAACAGTGCATGATTCATTATAGAAAACTAAGTCCAATAATCGATTGTTTATGTTAAATATATTATTATATTGTTTGAAATCGTGGAGATATACGAAAGCATTTAATTCAACTAGCTGACCAGTGAGAGGTGCCATATTAGCATACTGGGGAACATTAAAGTCAAATTTATCTGGCTTATTTTGTAATCTTTCTTGATGATCCTTATTTAATGATGTCATTATGTTGTAGACTTCTTCATTTATAAGCTCGACATTTTGTGATATATCCTTTCGTATATCAAATTTGTTTATCTTAGCCCTTTCAGAAGTTTCTTTAGTGTCCTTCATTTTAAATTTTTCCTTTGCTACCACAGAAGATGTAAGTTTGACATCAGTCACCAAATCAGTATGTTCTACGTCCATGTTGTGTTAGTATCACTTATGAAATTTTGATATATTTTGTTATTCTACTAAAATTGTAAAAATGGAGTTTCCGTATAAATAAATAAATAAATAAATATTCTCTCTTGTTTTAATATTGGTTAACTGTTGACTATCACTTGGTATATTATCAGTGTCATCTGGTTTAGTTTCATCTAGAGTAGACAGTGATGAGTCAGATTCCTAGAAAAAAAAAATTAAATTAAATTTTCTAGTTAAATTCTTTACAAACACGTAATTTTTTTTCAGACTCCTACAAATGAAGCCGAATGGAAAAATATTAGTGACGATTATGAGAAGATTTGGAATTTTCCTCACTGCCTTGGTGCCATGGATGGCAAGCATGTAGTTATAGAAGCCCCCATACACACCGGTAGTGAGTTCTATAATTATAAAGGTACCTTTAGCATAGTTTTGTTTGCAATTGTCAATGCAAACTATAACTTCATTTATGTGTGAGCACTCAGGGACTTATTTCAGATGGAGGAGTATTTAAGAGCACATCTTTTCATAAATTGATGGTGGAGTCTTCATTGAATCTCCCACAAAATTGTAACCTACTTGGTAGGCAATTACCTGTTCCATATGTACGAGCCTCTTCCCATTTCAGTTGGCCCACCTATTGAAATTTAGGATTATTTGCATTATTGTTTGTTATTTTTTCAAAGCTACCTTCGATTTTGGTTTATTTTCTAACGAATTAAATTCAAGTTGAAATAATGCAATAATGCTCCATGTGTTAATAAATTTAAAAATAAATTAAAAAAAAATGATGTTTTCTAGTTTTAGTTCTAATATAATTCTATATTGATGCATTGTTAATTAATTTATGATATAAAAAAGCATGTAATCTTTAATACTTTCTTATTGTGATATAAAGAAAATATCAGTAGGTGGGCCAACTGAAATGGGAAGGGGCTCGTATTTGTAGCGGATGATGCTTTCCCCTTGACTTCTATAATGAAACCATATAGTGGGCATCAAGAACAACACAAAAAAATCGAGTGTTTAATTATCGGTTAAGCAGAGCACGAAGGGTAGTTGAAAATATTTTTGGTATACTAGCAGCTATTTTTCGTGTACTGCGTAAGCCAATGTTATTGCAGCCAGAGAAGGCCAAAAAAATAGTATTAACATGCGTATTGCTTCATAATTACTTAAGAAGAAATGCGACAACCAGAAAAAGTTACAATCCTCCAGGAACATTTGATATTCTTAAAAATAATAAATAATCTACTTACGTGTGTTTCTCCTGAACATCCAGCTTGCAGACTCTTCCGAGGCCTATTTTTGTCTCGTAAAAACTTTAGCAATTTCTTATTTTCTTTTCAACGTCATCCACTGAGTTTATCTTTAATGCCAAACAAATCTCCTTGAGTGCATCGGCTTTCTTGTAACGATTTTTGTAGTCTTTATTTTTAGGGTCCCATAATAATGGATGCTCTCTGTACAATTCTATTAATTTGCAGGTATTTTCTGTGTTCCATTTTTCCCCCCGACATTTTTCGCAGAGACACTCTAGTAGGTACTACACTACACAATAAACAGAACTAAATATGTTTGATTTTCCACTGATTTACTGATCTCCTAGTTTTGTCAGCACACACGTCCACACTGCACCGACAACTTGTCGTAAAATATGCAGACAAAACAAAGACTCTTTGATTTTTACCGACTCGAGACGGAAACAAAACAAAAATAAGACAAAAATGTTCCAGAAATGTATCGGATTTGTCGCCACTTTGACGCGAAACATGAATGATTTTGTCTTGTCGTTGTTTTATCTGCTTGGTCTGGACCCGGCATAATACCTACATCTATTTCAATGGCATCTAGTATATTAAAACAGAAAGAATTAATAGAAATCAATATGATACAAAACAGTTTTTAAATCAAACGAATAAAGCAAATAAACCTTTTAACTGAAAGAGTAATTGCATTGTTAAAATGTACCGCTTCAAAATTTACACTAAAATCTCCCAAACAATATATCTTCCATTTTTTAAACGATCTAATTATCTCAGGTTTTAACTCTCTCGAGCAGAATTTAAACCTTCACCACCTACTTGAATCCACGAAGGAAATAACAGCTACTAAATAATAAATTTCCACTTACCTATAACGGTAACAAGAATCATAAGGCCCAGAACGACCGACAGAACTCCCATGAGGATCAAATCGGTTAGCTGCTCGGCATCGTTGACGTCGACAATGGTCTCGTTGTTGGTCGAATTTTCGAAAGAATTTGCCGCGAAACATGTCGAGACGTTCGTACAATTCACCCTGTAGAGAGTCTCCAAAGAGGTTTCGTTGGTCGGCGGGGGGAATTGGAGCATTACTGCAATAGAAAGAAGATTTTAGTGCGATGACAATAATTTTATTACGAATTAAATTGGAAAATGTTATAGGGTTTTTTAAGGAGGTCCTTTCGCCACCAATGTTAAATAAAAAATATTAGATTATGACTAAAATTAATTTTTTTCTAATAGTAGATGTCCTTATTTATCTAATAGTGAACATTTAACTATACCTTACCGTGCAAATTTTTGAGAAAAAAAATTTTTTTTTAAATGTGTATACAGTGTCTTATGAGAAAGTAAGACTTCAACAACAATTTTCGAATTATAATTAATTTTACTATTATTTATTGATTAGATGGAGTAGAAAAAAACTAAAAATAAGGTTTCTGAAATATTTAGGTTTAGTTTTTTACAATAAAATATATAGGTTACCGTGGAATTTATTGAGAAATTATTATTAAAAAATCACAAAAAATTTTCAACTAGGTTACTTGAAAATTTTTTGTGATTTTTTAATATTAATTTCTCAATAAGTTCCACGGTTTACTATACAGGGTGTTAAAAAAAAAGTATCACAAAATGAAATGGTGAATAGTATGACCCAAAATAAGCAGAAAAGTCTTAATAAATATATGACCGCAAATAAACGGTTTCGGAGATACGGACCATTTTGTGTTTATAACAATTTTTTATTATTATAAAAAAACAATGATATTTATAAACAATCAATAACAACATAGAGTTAAATGAGATGTTCAAAGTGCCCTCCCTCCATTTCAATGCAGCTACATCTCCTCCGAAAGGAATGTCGGACTCTTTCCAAAACACCCTCATTGGCTAGGATTCGATGACATCCCTGCTCTATTCGTTGCTGCAGCTCTTCGAGATTATTCACAGGAGTGGCGTACACTAAATTTTTTAAGTGTCCCCAAAGAAAAAAGTCAAGCGGATTTAAATCAGGCGATCTTGCAGGCCATGGCACAGGTCCGCCCCTTCCTATCCATCTTCGACCAAAGGATCCGTCTAAATGTTCTCTTACGGCAACTGAAAAATGCGCAGGAGCACCATCGTGCTGGAACCACATTTGATTTCTTTGTATTAAAGGAATGTCATCTAAAAGATCACCCAATGTGTTCTACAAAAAGTTTAAGTAGTCAGCTCCCGTTAATCGGTTAGGTAGTACAATCGGACCTAGTAACCAGTCGCCATAAATACCCATCCAAATGTTTAATGAAAAACGAACTTGATGCCTGGATTCCACGATACTATGGGGATTTTCGTCGGCCCACATATGCAAATTATGGAAATTAAAAACTCCATTTCGTGTAAACCCTGCCTCATCAGTAAAAAGAATTAGTGCAATAAAATTGGGATCCTCAGCATCATTTCTCAGAAACCATCGACAAAACTCCAAACGTGCTTGATAATCAGGTGCATTCAGAGCTTGCACTCGTTGAAGATGGTACGGGTAAAGCTGCTGCTCGTGGAGGATTCTCCAAACCAGAGGAGCCACAATTCCTACCTCCGCTGATATTCTTCGCACACTAGTTTCTGGATTCTCTTCTACTCGTGCTAAAATTGCTTCTTCTGCCTCAGGGGTGGACCGACCTTGGTCTCCCGGAATCATGTGACTGTTTCCCAAATTTACCTGTATCACGCAATCTTTGTTGCAATCTTCCAAACACACGAACTGAAGGGATGTGGCGATTAGGGAAAGCGTCGATATACTGACGTAGCGCTTCCCTCGCATTGCCATTTGCACGACCGTACATAAAATGCATGTCAGCTAATTCAATATTAGTGTAAACAGGCATAACGAAAATTTATAAAATTATTCACCCACAACAAAATAATAACTGCAAATAGTATCTATGAAAAAACATCGGTAGACTCCGATAAGAAAAGCAAGTTTTTGAGAATGAAAAAAGATAATCAAAAAATGATACAAAACACAGAAACCATTCATTTGCGGACATATGTTTATTAAGACTTTTCTGCATATTTTGGCCCATACTACTCCCCGTTTTATTTTGTGACACTTTTTTTAACACCCTGTATATATTTTATTGTATAAAACAAAATCTAAATATTTCAAAAACCTTATTTTTAGTTTTTTTCTACTCCATCTAATCAATAAATAATAGTATAATTCGAGAATTGTTGTTGAGGACTTACTTTCTCGTGAGGCACTGTACAAATACTCACATTTTTTAAAAAAAAATTCTCAAAAATTTGCAGGGTAAGGTATAGTTAAAAGGACTTCAACTATTAGAAACAAATTAATTTTAGTCATAATCTAATAACTTTTTTGAGGCGAGAGGTGTGGCGAAAGGACCTCCTTAAAAGCATAAACGTGGAGCAAACACGCAAATGCCGGTAAATCCAGTTTTACTGATTTTGAGATATTGGTCAAAAACATATACAGCGGAATCCGCTAGGTATTTTTAAAAATGTATTAAAGGGTTTTGTTATTTTTGGTTTGTCTTTGATTGTCCCAAAATTTCGTGGTCGTTGTATTTTTTGTTTTTGTTTTTTTAGTTTTTTTTTGGATTTATCGGTTTTTGCTTGAAAAATAAGTTTTCGTGGTTTTATAAGAGAGGCGTGTTTAAAAATCTATTTGATTTTATTTTATCCTTATCAATATAGTGATAATAGAAATAGATAACATACACGATTAAATAGATATTTTATTCATAGCACAAAGCAAAACAGTGAATATGATATAACAAGAGCATACAGTTAACATAGAAAGAGTTTGGACAAAACATTTTATTAAAAAAAAAACTAAATATGAACAGCCACTTCCTCTTCAAGACAGTCACATATACCTTCCGGTTCAACAATGGGACCCCCCTCTTCATCGGGTAATGTATTTCCATGAAGTAATGTCCGATACCATTTCAGATCCTCTGACTCCTTATAATTCAGATCAAATTTCTGATTTAGCAAATGCTGAAGAGATTTTTTTTTCTTCTCTGGAAAGCTCCGTTTGATATCTTTTTCCACTATGGTTAAATCTAGATCCAAAAACTTGAGTTTCAACAATTTTTCAAACTTTTCTGTTCCTGAGCAGTAGTAAAACTTTTCAAATGCGCATATTTTAATCAACGCTCCATCGTAAAATTTTTGAAAAACTACTCTTTTCATTTCTGATAGCCCTTTAACCTTTTTTAAACCCACTTGGAGTGTTTTTAAATCAAAAAGTCTCCAGTCAATGCCTAGTCTTCTTACTACTCCAACTTTTTCGTAAGTTTCTTCATAATGCTTTCTTGATTGTAGCTTGTTTTCTTAGAAGTTTTTCCACCTGCCCAAATACTCTATCGGCTGGTAGGAAGGAATGACCCCTTACTGGAAAAACTATTTGTAATTTTGTAACTTGTATTGGTGCTTTAAATCTAAGCCAGACGTATAGAGTGTGCAATATATGATTATTTTTATTTTGTCCTCCGCATCCGTCGCAGAATAGACGAACTGTAGTGATATCGTCATAATTCAATGAATCCAAATAACTTAAAAGTGCAGATCCTACCTCGATTGATCCTCTTCCTGCCATATCTTCCGTCCAAGTAAAAAAAAGTTGGTTTTTGGATTGACTGTCCACGCAACAAAAAATATACATGCTAACTTGTTGCGCATAAAACGCATCGTTAAATTGGGGCAAAGGCTGAATTTGTTGAATTGAAGATCAAAGCAAAAAGTAATTGAATTGTTAGGGTTCTCTTTTAGCAGCCTATAAAAAGCATTAGCCCTCTTTTTGTGAATTGTAAGTTCGATTTGTAACACCCTTTTCTTTTCTGTATCAACTTCACTTTTGGTCAAGTATTTAAGCCTAGTACATTTTGCGCAAATATCGGTGGCTGGACTAGAAAAGCCAATATTAAAGTCATTCACGAATATTCTTCTAAACATAGAAAAGTTAACTTTATGCTCATCATTGCACTGACTTTGATACATGTTGTGCAATTTTTTTATGTTGAAGTTAGCATCCATATTAATCTTTTTCGACTTTTCTCTATTATAGTGACTTTCCTTTCCTTTGAGGTTTCCAATTCTTTTACTTTAACTTTTTTGCAACAGATTTAGCGGACACGTGATCTCCACGACGGTTTTCTTTTGGAATATTCCCTTCAGATAAAACCTGGTATGCATTCAGAAATGTAGGATAAATGAGTCCGGACGTTGTCTAAACTCTAAAAACCGTTATTAAATATAGATAAAACACTTTATCTGGACGAATTACCCCAGCCGTTCCTATTTAAAAGAAAAACGCGTCGGGATAAAGAAATTTTTCCCACTGTGTTGAGTAGGGTCATTTTTACTTGACTTGCGCAGTATGTCATAACCTTGATTAACCTAAGAGAACCACCTACACCGAGGAAAATGTTTTGCTATGGTAGCAAAAAATGTATTAACCCTTAAAAAAACTCTATTAAAATAGGCGACAGCCAAAGTACCTTCCTACGGTTAATAAATTCACTTTTTTGGAATTACTTTTTAGTCCCTAAAAACTTACTTTTTAGTTTTTATTAATTTTAGTGGTTAGAAAGTAAAATTGTACTCACTAAAAAGTAGTTTTTTATTGTTAAAAAGTAGGTTTTTAGTTGTTAAACAGTATTTTTATTGCAGTTAAAAAGTATTTTGTTACCTTGAACAGGTAGTTTTAATTGTTAAAGAATTATTTTTTATCTATTAAAAATAGATTTTACTGCAAAAAATGACTCAGTCTCCCTAATCCTTTGTAAAACTGTCAAAATTCATTAAAAAAAACTTAAGACGGAACATTTAAAACAGAAAACATTTGGGGCATGCGCATTATCAATTTCCAAACAAAATTAAATAAAATAAGGTATACCTAAAAAGATAAAAGTTTGCCATCTTTTCTACTAATTCTTATTTCTTATTCTAGGTTATTTCATGTATACCTAAACGCTATACAGATGTGCATGTTTAATTTGCAAAAAAGTGGTACAAAAAAAATAATTACAAAACATTTTTGTTTTTTATTTCTTAATTTAATAAAAATATCAAAATACACTGCCATACATGTATTTTGTTGGAAATATCTGTTAACGTCACTAGAAGAAATAATTCTAATCTTAAACATTTAACCCTCAGTACTCAAAATAGTTTCCAAGTTCCATCAAAATAAGAAAAAAGGAATTTCTGTTATCTTAATGAAAAAACTTTCCAAGATTTTTCGCTTTATCTACTGTTTTTTTCCTTAATTAACGTTAAAGTGAGGGGTCAATACATTTGAAACCGATAAATTAGTAGATATAAAATACTTTTATATTATACGTTATGTACTTACCCTTAAAATTTTCAACAAAATCTTGAAGTCAGTCAGCTTCTCTGTGTAATCCATTGGAAAACGAACACAACTTATGCACAATTATTGCAAAAATGGCTTTAGACCTACGATTTGGCAAAGTAACGTGGATGACCTTTGCTGACGGCTAGGGTAATTATAACTAAAATCACAAATCAATCACTTGTTCTTGTCTGTCGATATACCGGGAACGGACTGAACGGAGTACGCCAAATGCACGAAAATTTTCTCGAGCACAGACGAAAAAGCTCTCGATCGAAACCGATCGTTATTTTCTAAAGATATTTTTTATTGGAATAAAAGCGAATTGTTATGATGGAAAATATACGTGTTATTATTTTGAATTTCTACTACAGAAAGTAAATGTTTAGTAATTAAAAACTATTTTTAAAAGCAAAAATTATTTTTGCTGGTTCTATAGACTAAAAAAAAATATTTGCCAAGGTAACAATTTTTTTTTATATGGCGACAAAACTACTTTAAAAAATCATTTTATTTAGTTGCATGAATGTATTTTTTTAACTGTAGCTGAAAATTTATTTGTGGTAGCAAGAAATTTCTCAACAAAAAACTTTTTAAATATAATTCTCTTAGTGTAGTATTTAATTTCCTGTTTTTACTTTTTGAGTAAAAGATATTTCAATATGAGTAAGAGTGAGAGAAATAATTCCATCAATTATCGTTTGTTGTCGGAAACGATGGTAATTTCATTATAGAAAATTATAAAACTTTATGACACAGAATTAAAGGTAATGAATTGAATTTTTACATAAAAAAGTCTATGTGGACGTTAATGAAGTTACCTACATATGTCCTTTATAATTTTAAACCTTTTTAAAATTAATCAAATCCGGATCGTCATCTTTGTATCTGAGAAACCAACAGAAAGTAAACAACACGTTCTAAAAAAAGACGCTAATGTAAATTTTTACCTTTGCTTTTTTTGCATCTGCCGTTTTGTCTCATTTGTTTTGCGTTTTCTACTTCCTATGCTAATATCAGATACATTGGCTTCTCCTTCATCCATCATAACAATTCCAAAAACAATATTAAAAACGAGCAACAGGTTAACTGCTAAAATGCCACTACACTTCTAGAAAAAATCAGCTGTTTCTCTGAATTTAAACAATAATATTCATACTAGTGCCCTCTTTATCTTTTAGTTTTTATTGACAAACAGAAATAACTATTTTGTAAAAAAGATAGCTGTAATTTTCTGCTTTATGAAATATAAAGAAAATTAAAATCATAACTCCTTTTAATATTGTTTGCATGCCCTCTGTTATAGTTATAGCACTGCGTTTTCAGTTAGGTACCCAAAATAAAGTTTGGTTAAGTCGTTTTTCCTCTAAACATATATTCCCTATGGATTGTATACAGAAAACTTTGAAGTATTGACATTAAACTCTTCACAAATTGAAAAATAACACAAACAGAGTTTCTCTCGGAAAGAATGCTAACAAATAGTTGGAAACGACTGTTAAGTTGATAACATGTGTTTGTCTTCGTTCGCTTTGATACTGCGTTCCTGGTATAAAAGGTAAATTCTCGTTAAAGGTTCGCAAAGAAGGAAGTTCTCATTAACTTAAGTGGCAAACTCCAAACTGAAAATGACGTTAACTAGAGAATGGTTTCGCAGCCGGAAAAAAACATTATGCAAGAGTTTTTTTAATTTGTTGGATTAATTAGCAGATGTAGGAAAAAGTGGTATATAGTGATTTGGAGTATCTACGAAAATTCTGTTGATTCGATGAAAACCGAATCTATTTTTCGAATTTTCGGGATTTTGATCCCTTTTAAATTAAACACTAGAAATTACTTTGAACTATAGATTTATTAAAAATAATAAAGTGGTGCAGACTGGCACTGGGATTTTGCTTTCGTCGCGTTCGAGATAAGTTTCTCGACTCTTCTTGGTCGCACTTCGCACCCCATATCGTCACATCCCTCACGGTACTCGCGGAGTTGGAACTTGATAGTCAATGTGAGAGATGGCGCAGCATGTATTAAAATTAAAACTAATTCGGTGCAAACATCCCGGGCGCCTTGAAATATAAAACATTTCAACCTACATAAACTACATTTAAACAATAAAATGAAACGATTACATAGACATATAAAATCAGTTTGTTAAAAGTCTTCTGGTAAAACACAAATTTTCTTAATACTACGCTTTAACACCTGATCTCGCACTTTAACACTAACTACACGGGTAATATCGTCATTTCCGGGATGAAGTTCTACAATACGCCCTAATGGCCATTGTATGGGAGGAATGTCATCTTCTTTCACCAATACAACTTTGCCAACTTGAATATAGCTGGTATCTACCGGGAGCTTCCATTTAACTCTAGTTTGAAGCTCGTTCAGATACTCTTTATACCAGCGCTTCCAAAAATGTTGCACTAGTTGTTGGAGACGCTGATATCGTTTTAATCTATTTTCGGGTATATCATGTAAATCTCCCTGTTTTTTCAGATCAGTTTTTCAGGGAACACATTACAAAATTAAAATCAGACAAAAACTCCTACACTTAATCAATTATTGTCCAGTTAGCCCCCCCAAATTGGCTTATAATGCTGAATTCAGCAAGGAGAAGTCACTAAATTCAAATTTAAACAAATTTTATACATGCATTAAGGCCATGACATCGGTACTGGCTCCCTTAGGGAGTCAAAAAAGGAATACTTCCAGCTTATGAAGAAGGAAGAAATCCATTAAGAAATGCTTTACTAAATTTGACCTGTATATATATTTTTAAAACATGAATAAAGGACTTTTGAAATTAATTATCATGTAAATCTGAATCTGGCAGACT